AAAGTATATCGTCTATATAATCCTCTTAGTGGCAAGGTAATTATTAGCAAAATGTGATCTTTGATGAAGATACAAGTTGGGAATGGAATGGCAAAAATGAGACTACTCAAGTTATGATTCTAAGTGAAAGTGAGAATTCAAGTGAGAATGCAGCAAATGAAGATGTTGAATCAACTCCCATAAACTTTTCAGGTAGTTTTTATTCACCAACTTTTTCATCTCACTCTTCACCTCCAACTTCATAACATAGCAGTTCACCTTGTTTGAAAGAATTATCAGATGAAATACCTCAAAAAAAGTTTAAATCCTTGAAAAAGATTTATGAAACTTGTTAATTTGCTCTATTTGTTTCAGATTTGACAACTTTTGAAGAAGCAGCAAACTAAAAATAATGACAGAATGTAATACAAAAAGAGATGATGGCAATCCAAAAGAATGAAACATAAGAAATGATATATTTATTGAAAGATAAAAATGTAATTGGTCTTAAAGTGGGTGTTCAAAACTAAATACCACGCTGATGGAACCATACAAAAGCACAAAGCCTAGTTGGTGGTGAAATGATACTCACAACAACAAGGTATTAATTTCGACAAAACTTTTTCTTCGATTGCTCGATTTGAAATGGTGATAATTATTTTAGCCTTGGCTGCATAATTTTATTTGTTTGTTTTATCAATTTGATGTCAATTTTGCTTTTTTAAATGAAAACTTAAAAGAAAGGTGTATGTCAATCAACCTCAAGGGTTTGTAATCAAAGGCAAAGAGACAAAGGTGTATAAGCTAAAGAAGGCACTTTACGACTGAAACAAGCACCACGAGCATGGTATAGTAAGATTGATGGCTATTTTTGTCATAATGACTTTAAAAAAAGTGAAAATAAGCCTACTCTTTATGTGAAGAAGAAAAAAAAAAAGACGATCTTATAATTGTTTGCCTTTATGTTGATGATATTATTTATACGAGCTCATGTGATTCTCTTGTTGCTGAATTTAAAGCTAACATGATGAAAGAATTTGAAATGTTAGACATGGGTCTGTTGTATTATTTTTTGGGGCTTGAGGTGAAGCAAGACGAAGATGTAATTTTTATTTCACAAAGAAAGTATGCAATGGATCCACTTAAAAGATTTAATTTGCTCAATTGCAATCCAAATGCCTCACCCATAAATATGAATGAGAAGTTACAACTTGAAGATGGTTCAGAAAAGGCTGATGTAAAGATTTTTAGAAGCTTAGTAGGAGGTTTTAATTTATTTGACCCATACTAGACCAAATATTTTATTTTCTATTGGTATAATATCTAGGTTTATGCAAAGTCTCACAAAACATCATCTTGGAGCAACAAAAAGAGTCTTATGTTATATTATTGGAACTAGTGATTTTGGGATTTGGTATTGGCAAATTACAAACTTCAGGTTATATGGATTCACAGATAGTGGTTGGACAAGTTCATTGGATGATAGAAAGAGTACTTTGGCAAGTGTTTTCACTCTTAAATTAGGTGCCATACATGGAGTTCAAAGAAACAAGCTATAACAACTTTATCATCTTTAGAAGCTAAGTATGTAGCAGCAACTTCAACAATTTGGATTAGAAGACTTCTCGTAGATCTTTGTCAGGTTCAAGATGAAGCAATTAAACTTTTTTGTGACAACAAGTCAACATTTGCTATAACAAAGAATCCAACATTTCATGGGAGAACAAAGCACATCGACATTCGCTTTCATTTTATTCGTGACTTAGTTGCAGATGGTGTAATCAAAATGGAGCATTATGGAATAGACGAACAGCTAGCAAATCTTTTCATCAAAGCACTTTTAAGAGAGAAATTTTTCTACTTCAGATTACATATTGGAGTATGTGATTTTGAATCAAGGAGGAGTGTTGAAAAATTATTCAAATTTGAGTTCATGTCTAGGCTTAAAGTCTTAGGTTTTAGGATATAGTTGGCAATAGATGATAGTTTTAGGATTAGTGGGTAGTAGTTGTTGGTAGTAGTTATTAAACGTGGTTAAGTGATTCCTAATATTCAGCCGCTTTCTCCACTTTCCCCACTTTCCCATTATCTGTTAACTGTTTGAGTTTTTTTCGCTATTAGTAAGCTTATAAAAAGGTTGATTGAGTTTAATAGAAATGTAGAATAATTTATTTACAATTATCCAAAATTTGTTATTTCTTGTGTGTCGTGATTTTATTTTAGAAAAGCCTACCTCCTTCCCCAATAGTTAGATATGATCCATATTATTGCAGGATCCAAAATTACCATTAAAACGGGAAAAGCAAGGATGAAAGTTGCATTTTCTATGAGTCATTTGACTAGAAGTTTTTATATTATAGTAAGCCAGCATCTTTAGAAATGGTTGCCTAAGCAATGAGAGACAAAACTAAGTCTAACATTGAAGTTACAATGGTATTTAAGAGTAGTTGATTTGGCTACGTCATAAAATGTAAGTTGGATTTTCAATCTGTTGATTTATTTATTTATTATTTATGATAGTTTAGGTATGTATTTCTTTTAAACCATCAACAAATTCAATAATCATATCTAAGAAGAAGGTATTAAAATGAACACTCCATGATAGATAATTGAGTGCAGTGAATTTAATAAAAAGTTGAGCTTTTGCATTAATGCAAATAAGGTCAGTATTAGAATTTTGATTCATAATATGGATAGTAAGTTGAAGAATGAAATTATTGGATAATAGATTGGCCATGAGAAAGAAAAATCTAGAGGTTGTTAAGCAATGAAAGATTTGATACCATATAACAGTACTTAAAAGAAATGGGCTCAAAAGATGGTTTTATTGATATGATTTGTATTAAAATATATAGACAGGATATAAGTTAAGTTACAAAGTTTACAATAGTTGAACATATAAATAATATTTATATGATCTAAATTGATAACCAAATCTTAGATTAGATTAGGCTAATTAATGATGATTATCTGTTATCCTCTACATCCTCCACTTCGCCTAAATACAAAGACCAATCATATAATTTGATTTTTTTTTCTTTTCATTTATGTATTTGGTAAAACAATAAAAAAAAAAAATAATATTACCTTTATAAATTTAAACAATTATGGACAATGTGTCAAATATGCAACATTTGACTCATATGTTCTCATTTTTTCATCTTATCAAATCAACTTGAAATTATTTAATTTTTATAAATAAGAGTAAAAATTGCCATTTTTTCAATTTTCTTATTGAACACATTCGATATACATTTTTTTCACTTTTCATATTCCATTATTCATCTTTCCACCTTTTCAATTCATAGAAACCAAAGACACTTAAAAACCCTAAATATATGATTTACTATTTTTACCTTTGTTTTTCCCATTTTTTCCCCTCACGAGAGCATATGGCTCTGGGTATGGCGTATGAGAATGAAGTGATAAAAGCGTAGAGTGGGGTTCACCTTCGGAGTTCTGAGCCCCACTCTGACAAACGGCTAGCTGAGTTCTAAGTTCACATGCCAATTCTCTCCAATTTCTCACTCAAATTCCAAAATCACGATAAATTGAAGAGCTCAGCGGAGCTGCCCCGCGTGGCATGGAGGAGCTAACCCATGCATGCACGTGGCCCACATTCAAAAGGACCTGGGGGGCCACTTCTAGAAAGGATCAGGACCATTTGTTAATTAGACTTTTTTGGTCAAATTGGCATGTTGAATCTGATGATGAAAGTTTTCTGTTTCTAAAGAATGAAGGATGAAAAAGATAAGAAGCAGAAAGTGAGCATATTCATAAACCTGTCTCCTTAACGGTTGATGAGAAATGTGGAGACAATCATGACTCTGCCCAATTCTGACTCTTTTTCTTCAGTTCTTCGCCCTCTAAAAAAATCCCCCGCCCCCCACCCCCACCCCACCTGCAACTTGCATTAACAAAATGCAATGACATTTATAGACAAAATAGTTTAAATATAATACAATAATATATATAAATATATATATATATAAAATAAAAAATAATATAATTTAAAATTTTAATAATTATTATATATATTTAATAAATTAAAAAATATATTTTTATTTTTTTATATGAATTTAATAAATTAAAAAATATATATTTTATATTTTTATATCGACATAAATTATAATATATAATTTTTATATAAAATATAATATAAATATATAAATTTTAATATTTTATATAATATAAATAATATGAATATACAAATCGTAAAATTTAAACATTTAACACTTTCACATGTTAATTTTTTTGGATAACAAATTGCAGTACAAGTTTATTTGAGTTGTAATAACATTAATGTTTTGTAAAAAGTTATAATATAAGAATTAAAAAAAAAAGTGTTATATATGTTAAAATATAAATTTTAAATTTTAAAAAATAAAAATTATATATTTTAAATTTTAAATAATAAATTTATTGAATATTATTTTTTAAAAATAATTATTTTCATCAATTGAAATAAATTTTAAATTTTTTATAATACTGTTTTTAGTAACAATTTGATTGGCTCTCTCTCTCTCTCTCTCTATATATATATATATATATTATATAAAAGATAGTTAATCGAATATTCTTCTAGGGTCATTCTCAATAATTAGACATTAAATTGAATTAAATATCACATGCATGTAAATAAAATTTTACGATTTTAAAAGCAAAAGAGAAATGAAATTGAAAAATCAAAATCAAAAGTTTAAAGCAATATTCTTGTTTTTTTTATGTCACTATATTTATGTTTGGAATTGGATGTTTCATGTTGGAAAAAACAGATACTGTTATAATACATAAGAGACTAAGCATTTGGCTAATCTATGTTTCTTTTACAAAACCCCATTAAAGAGAAGCTTATGCAACCAAAGTTTCCCTGGAAAAAATCATGATAAATAGATTGGAGATATATTGGAATAAAAATATATATAGTATGTATAGGAGTATAGTATTTCTCACCAACTTTGACCTTTACCAATTTATTTTCCTACTTACTCTAATTAAGTAATTCATCTATCTTCCCAAGGTCTTCAAAGCTGTAAACTTTTACCATTCTTAAACACGTTTGTTTTTCTGTCTATCTCAGTTCACACACATTCTCCTTCTCTCCTTTTCTCTCTTTCTTTTGAGTCTCCATTGGTATCTCTTTTCAAGCTTTCTCCTTCATTTCTTGGTTTTTCCTGGTAACCAAAAAGGTAAGGCCTGAACCCCAACCTTTGCATTTTAATATTTTCTCTCCAACGGTCATATATTTTCACTTTTTCTATGGAGATGTTTTCTTTGGTTTTGGTGGTTCTAGCTCTCTCGAGCTCTAATGGTGCAGTTACTTGTTTGAATAATGAAGGGTATGCACTTTTGTCGCTTAGGCAGTCCATTTATGAGGACCCTGAAGGGTCTTTAAGTAACTGGAACTCTTCCGATGACAACCCTTGTTCATGGAATGGGGTTACATGCAAGGAACAAAGAGTTGTTTCTGTTACCATTCCAAAGAAGAAACTCTATGGGTTTCTTCCTTCTGCTTTAGGCTCTTTATCTGATCTTCGCCATGTAAATTTGAGGAACAATAAATTCTTTGGGGTTTTGCCTGTTGAGCTTCTTGAAGTTCAGGGGTTACAGAGTTTGGTTCTTTATGGGAATTCCTTATCTGGGTCCTTGCCAAAAGAAATAGGGAATCTTAAATATCTTCAAACATTAGATTTATCTGAAAACTTCTTTAATGGGTCATTGCCCTCATCAATTGTTCAATGCAAGAGACTAAGGACCCTTGATCTGAGCCAAAACAATTTCACTGGTTCTCTACCAGATGGATTTGGGACTGGCTTGGTTCCTCTTGAAAAACTTGATCTTTCATTCAATAAGTTCAATGGTACAATTCCTAGCGATTTTGGACATCTGTCTAGTTTGCAAGGAACTGTTGATTTGTCTCACAATTTCTTCACCGGTTCAATCCCTGCTAGCCTTGGAAATCTTCCCGATAAGGTTTATATTGATCTTACTTATAACAATTTGAGTGGGCCAATACCCCAAAATGGTGCTCTAATGAACAGAGGACCAACAGCATTTATTGGGAATCCTGGGCTTTGTGGCCCCCCATTGAAGGACCCTTGTTCTTCAGATACTACAGGTGCGAGTTCACCTTCTTCTTATCCGTTTCTGCCAAATAATAACCCGCCTGCGAATTCAGATGACAAGGAAGGTAAAAATCAGAGAGGGAGAGGACTTAGTAAGGGAGCTATTATTGCTATAATAGTGAGTGATATAATTGGAATATGCCTTGTTGGGTTCTTATTCTCCTATTGTTATTCAAGGGCCTGCTTATGTAGTGAGGATAAAGATAACCATGGTTATGGTTATGAGAAGGGAGGGAAAGGAAAGGAGGAGTGTTTTTGCTTCAGGAAAGATGAGTCGGAGACTTTATCAGAAAATGTAGAGCAGTATGATCTCGTGCCACTGGATACACAGGTGGCATTCAATTTGGATGAGCTGCTTAAAGCTTCTGCTTTTGTTCTGGGTAAGAGTGGAATTGGTATCATGTATAAAGTTGTGCTCGAAGATGGGCTTACCTTAGCTGTGAGAAGATTGGGTGAAGGGGGCTCTCAGAGGTTTAAGGAATTCCAGACAGAAGTAGAAGCAATTGGAAAGCTGAAGCATCCTAACATTGTTACTCTCAGAGCCTATTATTGGTCTGTTGATGAGAAGCTTCTCATATATGATTACTTATCTAATGGAAGCCTTGCCACTGCATTGCATGGTATGTTTCACCTAACCTTCTTCCACAATATGATTTTCTTTCTATTTCCTTCTATTGGAACAGCAGTTAATATAATTTTTTGGCATTGCTCTCTTTTGTACTAATTACCCATTTTCTTATCCTTATCAGGGAAGGCAGCAATGGTATCGTTCACACCATTATCGTGGTATGTACGACTAAAAGTCATTAAGGGAATAGCCAAAGGCTTGGTTTATCTGCACGAGTTCAGCCCAAAAAAATATGTTCACGGAGATTTAAAGCCAAGTAATATATTACTTGACCAGAACATGGAACCACACATATCTGATTTTGGACTTGGACGACTTGCTAATATCGCTGGAGGGTCCCCAACCATGCAATCTAACCGAATGCCTTCAGATAAACCCCAGGAGAAACTACAAAAGAGTGCTTCTTCAGAAGCTACTGCCGTTTATTCCTCCACAAGCTTGGGATCTTATTACCAGGCTCCTGAAGCTCTGAAAGTGGTAAAACCATCACAGAAGTGGGATGTCTACTCATTTGGGGTAATCTTGCTAGAAATGATCACAGGGAGAATAGGTACCTCAGAAATGGATCTTGTTCATTGGATTCAACTATGCATTGAAGAGAAAAAGCCACTTTTGGATGTTTTAGATCCATATTTAGCTCCAGATGTAGATAAAGACGAGGAGGTAATTGCAGTTCTAAAGATCACAATGGCTTGTGTGCATAGCAGCCCTGAACGAAGACCTATCATGAGGCATGTCTCTGATGCTTTGGAAAAGTTGATCGCATCAACTGATCAATAAATCAATTAAAACCAAGAATCTGTGTGACTCAAGGGATACTTGGAAGTTCTTTTCATCAAAATGAGGATGGTTTCAAAATTATGGTTAGTTCCAATTTAACTGTACTCCCATAACAATTGTGGCAGTGGAGTGAAACGATGTAATAGTGCTAGAGGCAAAATGTTCATGTCTTCATTTCTGTAGGATTCCTTTCTTTGTCACAAGAGCTAGGTGATGGTGGGTGTGCTATAAGAGCTGCTGTGAATTTTTAAGTGCGTTGTAATTTTGCATAAATTGGCTGTTAGTTTATTCTGTATGTGAAAGGGTGTTTTATTCTTGCTCCGATAGCAGACCTTTTATCCCTAGTTTTTCTTGGTCGATAAAGCTAGTCATTTTATTTGTTTCTTTTCTATTTTCCCAGGAATATGACTATTGAAGGAAAATTTTATATTTTCTTTAATCCCTATGCTTGAATTAAGAAGTATACTTATATTTTCCAATCAGTCTCGTGACATCTTTGTCACGGCTCAACTTATTCTCTTTTAGAGTGTTTGTCGTGGCCAAATGATGGAGTTCAATGACTTAAGATTGATTTTAATATCACTTGTGGTGATTGTTATTCTTTTATTGTAAATTTAACTTATTAGGGTATGCTATGTCAATGTTCATATATTTGACAACCTTTTTTTTTTTTATCTTATATGAGATTAAAGCACTAAACGTGACACACATGGGATAACTAGTCAAGTGGCCTGCACGCAAACACACCCAGCTATGGTATTAAATGAAAAACAAAAAATGGACATATCTGGAATAGCGTTTTTGTTTTTGGTTTTGGTTTCATCTTCGGTTTCAATTCCAATAATTAAATACCATTTGGTTTAGTTTTCAATTCTCAAAATAAAAAAATATATATTCTAATTCAATCCAATTGTTTTATTTTATTTTTACATAAAATAAAAATGTTTTATTATTAAAATTTTTTATTAAACCACAGCTCTTTACCAAAAGAATTTATTGATCCCAATATTATTTTTGAGATTAATTCTAAATGATTATAAATTAGAATAAAATAATTTAAAAAATTACATGATTAAAATAAAGGAATTTTTTTTTTACTTTTTAGATAAACGAATTATTAATAAAAGATAATATCAAGAAGTGGAACATTGTTTTTTTTTAACATTAAAAAACATATGATAAATTTTATTAAATATATTATGATTTCAAATAATTAAAAAATATGAAAAAAGATATATAAATTATCGATAAATTATTATTTTTAATTGAAAAAATTCAAATTCAAATCATTATTTACCAAATATATATTATATATATTTTTCATTATGATACGAACTCAAGTAATTTATATTTTTTTAAATAAAAAAAAAGTCTAATTCCTGGTGGTACTCCTGCTTCTTTCACTTTCTGATTAAACTAAACAAAAAAAACATTTTTCAAATGCTAAAAAAAATTAGCTGACATCACAACAAAGTGAACAATATTTTTTTTAATATTAACTAAATACAAATATCCTTTTTTATCTCAAATTGTTTGCTTGGATGGTATTAATTCTTACGAAATTTTTAAAAATTTTAATTTTAATATATTTAATATTAAATTTTAATTTTAATAATTTTTAATATCAAAAAATTAAAAAATCATAAGAAATAATTTTAAAATATAAAAAATAAAAATTTTATAAATTAAAAATATAATTATGAAATATTCTATAAAAAAAAAAAGATGAAAAGAATATTAATTTAATAATTCTTGATCTTTAACAAAACGCGAGTCGTTTTCTAATACGTGGTCATCTAGAGTTGTTATTAACGATGGTGGTGATTTTATTTTTCACGTGATGCTGTGATTTGACGCATCAAACTTTTTCTCGGCCCAACATTCTAAATGAAAGATGATATATCTTTTCTTTCATCAAAAAAATGAAAGTTTGATATCATCCTTCGTAACCAACTTCTCCCCATTTTGTCTAATTCTAAATCTCCTTTATTCCCAATTCCTATTTTACAAAATGCAAGGAGTGACCAATAAATAATTAAATTAATTAGTTAAATTTTATTTTTTTATAAAAAAATTTTAAATTTAAATTTTATCGATAATTATTTATTAAGATAATTTTGAATATAATTTATAATTATTTATTTTAAATTATTATATAAGATATATTTTATTTTAATCTAAAAAAATAAATAATTTATTTATCTTTAAATTTTTCTTATAAAAAAAAATTATAAAAAGTAGATTCTGTCATTAGTGTTTCCCAACTGTATGTCTCATGTCAAAGTGGAGTGCTGTTAGAAACAAATGGTAATGGTTGCATTTTTTTCAATCACGTTGTCACGCTAACGAAGGGAGTTAAAACTAAAATCTCAGACAAGACTCTTAGCTGTCTTTTGGAATTAGTCTATTTTCTTGACTTTAACCATAGCTTTGTCGGAATGTATTGGGTCTAAATTCAGTCCATCCAGCCTGCGAGGCTACGGCTTACTTAGCATCATCATTCAACGCTAAAGACAGGGTTGATTGCGTAATTATAGGCTTTTATTAATTAGACAGACTGTGTGCCTCTCATTGGCAGATTTATTTATTTATTTTTATTTGAGCAAGGCAGGCAGGTTCTGACACATGTATTTATCAAAAAAGTTGTTTGGCATATTCGATGCTATGTCATCAAAAATATTTGTAAAGGATAATATTTTGAATAATTTTAAATTATAATAAAATATTTAAATATAATATATAATTTTAAAAATATTTATTATTTGAATTATAATATGATATTTGAAATTTTTTTTTTTCATTTAAATTTCACACGTTAGACCATATCATTGTTAAAAGACTAGTAATTTGAGTAAATGCAAATCATTGGATTAGTCGGATACCGCGAGCATTGATAGATTTCCAAAGGCATAATGAGAAAATAAGCTCTTAAACTATACAAAATATTTAAACAAACCCCTATTTTTTTCATTTAAGTTATTATGTCCTCGTACTATTATTTATTTATTTATTTTTATCATTGAAGTCTGCGTGGCTAACGACTGCTAAATAGCTTACTAAGCATATATGCCGACATTATTAAATTCAAGGCATATCAACAAGCTGGAGTTGTTGGCAACTGATCATCCCTTTATGATTTTGGAATGGTGGGAATTTAAAGAACCTATTTTCACATTTTTTGGGGGGTAAATTGACTGATACCTGCTAATGAAACTTTATCTACCATGGTAAATGAGAGTTGGGATTTTAAATTTGGATTTCAACGGTTGAATTTTGAAGAAATTGGTAGGTGGTGTTGGTCATGTCGTCGGGCTGGGAGGCTGAGACTTAATATCCCCCTCATCATATCGGTAAGTATACTTCCTTTGGTGTTTCTGGCTACAATCTGGTTGATGTGAACGAGGTTTGTGGTATGTCCATGGGCGCCAAGATTGACCAACACCAACGTTGTCACTTGTCCCCTTGATTAAAGGTTAACCAGAAGAAGATCAACAATGTTATCACTAACTAATAAAGCCATGCCGTTTTAAGTGTAAAACTAATTAACTAATTGTTGCTTGTTGGAGGGAAGGAAAATAGAAAGATTCAGAAGAAAAAAAAAAGTTGAGAAGAGAAAAAAATATATAGAGAAAAAAGAAATTTTTGTTCTTTGATATCCATTACTTAAATTTTGATCCTGTATAGATGAACAGTATATGATCAAAACCCAACCCACATGTCACCTTTTTTTTTGCTTTTTTATTCTTATTTTTTGTCAATTTTTAAAAAAATATTTGATAAATAATTTTTATAATTTTTATTTTTTTTAAATGGGACTCATTTTACGCCAAACTTATTTTTATTTTTTTTCTTTTTATTTTTTTTAATATTTTAAATTTATTTTTATTAGATCTATTTGATATTTAAGATATGCCATACGTTTACTTTTTTTATAATTTATTATATTTTATAAATATTTTCTTAGATTTAAAATTATTTTATTTTATCGATATCGATGATATAACATGTGCCAAGTTATTTTCTTACTTTTAATTTCTTTTTTTCTTTTTTATCATTTTTTCTATTTATTCTTTTGCTTTTTTTAAATATTTATTTATTTTTATAATATTTTATCTTGGGATGAGTCGAGTGGGTAGTTTGTCATTTTATTTTTAAATAATATATCTTGAGACGGATTTTGTTTTAAATAAAAAATAACTTGAGTCATAGGCATATTTTGGATGATTTGGCTTAAGCTATTTCAATGCATATATAAAAATTTATATTTTATTTTTATTTAATTTTATACATATACATATATATATGCATTATATTAATAAAATTATTTTTTAACTTAATAAATTAATATTTTATGCTCAATATGGGGTATCAATATAACACTCTCTATGAACTTTTTTTTCTCATCTTTAATTTTTTTCTTTTTAATTTTTTTAATTTTTATATTTTTATCTGATAAATTTATTAAAAAAATGAGATCAATTAAGGTACACATGTCATTGATCATTTTTTTTATCTTTCGTCTTTTTTTAATTAAATTAATTTTATAAGAAATATACGATAAATAAAAATAGTAAAATAAAAAATTTTACCCACAGCAATGTACAGGTTTTTTTAATATTAATAACTATAATTAAAAGTAAAACCCATTTAAAATTACATTAATACCCTTTGAATTGTTTCATAAGTCATTGGCATGTGGCATTTTATGTCATCCATTCAAAAAAATACAAAAATACCTTCTATATCTATTTAATTACATTACTAAAATTACTATAGTGCCCTTCCTACTATGACTAACCAAAATCACTATATTGTCACTCCTATCATAATTATGAACATACTCTTTCTGTCATAATAGTCTAAAATGACTATAATGTTGTTTTTACCATAATTATAAAAATAACTATAAGATTATAATTAGCCAAAATTATTACAATCTTTTTGTCATTATTATGAAAATGCCTTTTTAATTACTTCATAATTACATATTAAATTTTAATATGTATATAATAATATGAAAATAATTGTTGGCAATTGAATGATATGTGTCCAAATTAATTGTAATGCCTTTTTTTTTCTGTAATCAACTAAAATTACTATAATACTTCTCCTATCATAATTACTGAAATATCCCATTTACCATAATTAGCTAAAATTATTATAATACTCCTCTAATCATAATTATGAAAAATTCCTTCCTACTATCATTAGTAAAAATTACTATACTGCCATTCTTACTATATTAAAAGTATTAGTTTTTTTCCTTAAAAAAATTAAGTTGAATGGGTGATAATATTAATAGGCATTAATTTCATTGGTAAATGAGTTTGAATTTGATAACTGATCAATATTTATAATACGTAAATATTATATTAATAGGTTAAATTGTTATGTATGTATTATTGGGTTTGGATTTAATCTATATAATTTTTTTAAAGTAATCTCTCTTATTTAAAGTAGAAGCTAACATCAGTTCAATTGTAATTGACTAACACAATTAAAGTATCAATTTTTTATTTTTTTCAAAAGATTATATTTCTTAATAATTAAAAATAAAAATCCAACAAAATACTAAAAAATATTTAATTTCTTTATTTATTATTAAATTAAAAAGTTAATATTTTTTCAAAAAAAAAATTGCAACCCGAGTGTAGCTTGGTAGTT